ACAACACAGGTTTAAGAAATCTTGTTTCCACCCTTTTGCGACAAAAATGGCATGAAGGTAAAGAAATCAAACATTTTTCAAGCAGTAGATGATCTTCAATAGTTGAACGATAGAGTGGGAGGAAAAGGGCTGCAGTTTTGTTTGCTAAAATCAGGTTTTACTCCAGTAGATGTGGAGTCACTTCCCGGTGGGTTACGATTTGAGTACACGCTTCTCGCTGGTGCACACTAGGGATTTTTCTCGGAAACTATTCATTCATTCGAAGTGGGTTACTATTTTAGCGGTTATTTAAGCTTTGAAATATAGTTCTGTTGCTCACCGGCTGTTTTGTTACTTTGGCATTTCTTTTAGGACGATGTTAGCCTTCTGCCGTCCTTACTGAACCATATCCAAGTTTTAAATCTGTGAAAACTAATCGCATTCAGTTGAATTAAATGGAAATGTGACTACTGCCAGACGTGATAGGGATGCCATGACGAGGGTACCCAAATGAGTTCTGCGCAGTACTTGTTTTTGTGATCCCTGATTAGCAAGTGAAGATTGTGTTATGATAGAAATATACTAATAATTTAGTTATTGATGTGAAAAAAAATATTTATAGCAACCAGTAAAGTAGTGCTCTAATTGTTTTAGACTAATGAAGGCCCCGATGCTAAAATTTCTTACTGGAATTGCCAACTTTTCAGTCAAACATCGTCATCATTTTCAAGACTAACAATAAACAATCGGTCTTTTTTGTCTAGAACCATTGAAGCATCACGTTATATGAAATAACAGAATCGAAATGAAATTTTATAATCATTTGTATGTTTCTGCGTTGCCCGTTTTTCTATTATGCATAATGGTAAAACTGTCTGCATTTTTTGTCAGCGCTCATAATGACTCCAACACGTGAGCTGGCAATGCAGATAGCAAAGCAATGCCGCAAATTCACTCGCGCACTGGGACTGAACACGGTCTGTGTCTATGGTGGTACGGGTATTTCGGAGCAGATCGCTGAATTGAAACGTGGTGCCGAAATCATCGTTTGCACGCCAGGCAGAATGATCGACATGCTAGCGGCAAACAATGGAAAAGTGACCAATCTCCGTCGAGTAACTTACCTGGTGCTAGACGAGGCAGACCGCATGTTTGACATGGGCTTCGAGCCACAGGTTAGTTGTTGTTCGTTATTTTATTTTTGAATCTGAGAAGAGTTGCGTTGCAGAACCTCGGCTAAAAATAGGACCGCGCTTAGTGAGGCTTGTTCCCCGAGGCAAAACTGGATGCAGAAGTTGTCAACTATTC